CAATAAAAGTGTCATCACCTTGATTGATACTTGTCTAGGGCCGCTCGATGAGTAATGGCGGCCTTTAAGCCCCTTGCACACGTCATCACCTGCGTCCGTTTCTTCCCTCTTTGAGACCAGATATTTATTTTACTTCTATTTTTAACTTCCTCTAATAGACTATTGATCCCTACAACACTTCAACTGGAGAATACATTTTGTCAACTCGACCCTCATTGGTCAGACGGGAAGCTTGTAGATAATTGAACCGGTTTCTCATTGGTCAGTCCTGCACTTGGAAGTAATTTACTGTTGTCGGGACGTAGGCAACTGCGTCTGTCGGCTCTAATCATTTGTTATTAATGGGCTCTGGCTGGCTTGTCAGAGGAGGAGGGGGGGGGGGGGTAGGTCGCTGTTGGTGGGGGGGGGGGGGGGAGTCGCTCTTGGTGGAGGGGGGTAAGTCGCTGTTGGTGGAGGGGGGGGGTAAGTCGCTCTTGATAGAGGGGGGTAAGTCGCTGCTGGTGGAGGGGGGGGTTAGTCGCTGTTGGTGGAGGGGGTAAGTTACTGTTGGTGGAGGGGCGGGGGGGGGGGGGGTAAGTCGCTCTTAATAGAGGGGGGTAAGTCGCTGATGGTGGAGGGGGGGGGGGTAAGTCGCTCTTGATAGAGGGGGGTAAGTCGCTGATGGTGGAGGGGGGGGGGGTAAGTCGCTCTTGATGTAGGGGGTGAGAGGGGTAAGTCGCTCTTGATAGAGGGGGGTAAGTCGCTCTTGATGGAGGGGTAAGTCACTGTTGGTGGAGGGGGACTAGTCATTGTTTAGTTGGGGGCGGGTTGTTGTTGGGGAGGAAGATAAGTCGTTGTTAGAGGGGGGAGTCATTGAAAGTGGGGAGATGGGTTAAGTCATTGAAAGTGGGAGGTAGGGGTGGGGGTAACTCGTTGATAGTGTCTCAGACGATATAACAGTTCAAAGTCTTACAGCTTAAATCTCAGCGCTTGAAGTCCCACAGTTTTAAAACCCAGCAAATCCCGAGTTAAAAATCTCTTAATGATAGAAGGCTTGGACGAACGCCGAATGAAGGAAGAGGGTCTTTAAAAAATATGGCAACGATAACATGAAGGTGGTCGATTGTTGAAAACAATTTAAACAAACAGTTAGTAGCAGAAAAGAAAAATGTAATTAAGAATAAAAAATATGTTTAGATATGTATGCTTATGTATGAAAAGTAAGACATTGTATCGCTGTTTGATATACATTTTACCGCCCCAAAATGTGTCTACTTTTTTTCTTTAAAGTTTGACTTATCAATATGGGCTCTAAAACCCGATCAGATGTAAGTATGTAACAGATGTAACTGTACTCTACTATAAACTTCAACGTCTACCTCTCGATGTACATTCAACAAGGCCTATTAAAGACAGACTTCAGCAGAGGAAGATGGGAGATGCTGTACGGACGTGCCGGAGGTCAAGAGAATCGAGTCGGCTGACAAAGTATTGTCTTATCTCCGTGCCATCAGAGTCTAAAGGAACACTAAGATGACAAGCGTCTAGAATGGCTTTAACCCCAGTCAGCTGTTGCCCAGCAACCATTTAACCCCTGACCCAGATGTCCATTTACGAAAATCCTCCATCTCTCACGATTAGCATGGTCTACAATATAGGCTTGAAAAGTTGGTTCCAAATGTGTGTTTCAGAAAGCATATTTTTCAACCAAAATTGAATTTTTATAGCATTTGAGAAATAAGAACAAAACGACTTCCGGTTTCATTAAGGCTCGAAATATTCAAACAAATAATTACTTGTATAATAATGGTAATTTAGCTAACACTTTTATTTTTAATTTCGATTAGTAGAGTCAGTGTGTTGTGGCGATAGGGGATGTTATATTATTTAATATAAATAGACTACTAGGCTATACCCAATTGACCTCTATTGTGTATTTTATCATGGAAAACATTGTTGACTTTCATTGTTTTACTTTCCCTGGCCACTCCGGATGACTTCAAGGAGGGGTTGAGTGTGGTTTTTTAAATATTTGAATTGAAAAAATTAATTCAAAACGGCTAATAGAAAAATTTGAAAATGAGAGTAATTGATGATTCCCAAACAGCTGTAAACAAACTTTTTAAACAAAACAGCTTTACAAATGTAACTATAATTTTATCGCTTGCAATATTTTTAAAAATATTACATAGACTTTTCAAGTCTCGCGTGAGAGCATTCACCACTTGCTCGGTCTTCACTTGAGAGACAGACTAGACTGGAACATTTAGAAGTACAATTCATGTTAAGGCCTGCTCAGGGGTAAATTTTGTTCCTAGGGTTCTCATAAGGTCGTTTATGGACAAGGATCTTTTCAGGTGTTCATTTAATTGCACTGGGTTTTTTTACGCACCTTTAGTGCAAAAAAGGGCTTTTCAGAAGTAATGTCAAGGTGCTTCTCAGAAGTACATTTGAAGTCTCGGTGCTACTCAAACGTACATTTAATGCCCAGGTGCTTCCCAGACGTGCATTTAATGCCCAGGTGCTTCCCAGACGTGCATTTAATGCCAAGGGGCTTACCATACGTGCATTTAATGGTAAGACAGCTAAACGTTGCCAAAGGATTTCTCACAGAATCAGCGGCGAGCATTTATCAAGTCACGCGGTATCTACAAGATTTGCTGCGGTAAAATTGACCTTTTGAACTCATTCCCCATTGACCCTCGCTTAGAGAAAGTGAAAGTGAAAGCCTCAGTCTTATCCAGACAATTGGTGCTTTTTTTTCTTTCGTTTTTTTTTAACAATTTTTGTTTTGTTTTATCCTCAAAATGCAACGATTTGATATGTTGACAGTAGTTTTGTGCCCTGCTTTATGTCTTTAAATCATGACAAAGCTTATGACAAAATGGAGAATCACATTAACTTTGTATTTCGTCAGACTGTGTTGGACGATGTGGTCGATCAGTAGAGCGTACGACTACTTCTAGCCCGAGTTGGGTTCACGCTGTCAAATCCTTAGGACATATTTGAGCTCACCCAACTCTGGTGGATATTAAACGAGACTTTAGAAGATGGTTGTGTATAGCGCTGACTACACCAGCCCTCCATATAATGAGGTCTGAGAAACATAAACTCTACTTCATCCGCTTCACGGTCCATCTGGTCTCAAGCGTACTCTACTTCACCATCAGTATTGTTTGTTCTACTTTACTCGTAGTGCGTTGCTTTTAGACGATTGGAGATTGCGATTTGAAACGTTCTTAAATAATTATGAAGCGGACTCAATTTGACCCATTCGAGTACTTTAGAAAATCGAGCGGCCAGTGTTTTGAGATGGATTAAACATGTCGCAGCAATTGTCTTGTCCGTCGGGAAATTGGTGATGACAGGAATCAAATTATTGAAAAACTAAATCGATAGCCATGATTGGAGAGTGTGTTTTAAACTAGTTAGGGCGGCATCAATTTGATGCGCTGTCTATTGAAATAAACCTGTTTTTTTTCCTCAGACGATAGTAAGTTTTTTAAAAGCTTACAGTGAATTAGGAGATGGTGCAAACAGAAAGTATTTTAACCAAATACGTTGGGGTGCTTTATCACGGTGATAGGGCGATTTATTCTAGTGATTGGGTCTTTAATTTGGTGATGGGTTTTTAACTGGTGTTGTTGTGCTTTATTTTGGCAATGTTCTGCTTTATTCTAGTGAAAGGGGCGCTTTATTTTGGTGATGTTGTGCTTTATTTTGGTGATGTTGTGCTTTATTTTGGTGATGTGCTTTATTTTGGTGTTGTGCTTTATTTTGGTGATGTTGTGCTTTATTTTGGTGATGTTGTGCTTTATTTTGGTGATGTGCTTTATTTTGGTTATGTTGTGCTTTATTCTAGTGAAAGGGGCGCTTTATTTTGGTGATGTTGTGCTTTATTTTGGTGATGTTGTGCTTTATTTTGGTGATGTGCTTTATTTTGGTGATGTGCTTTATTTTGGTGCTGTTGCGCTTTATTTTGATGATGTGCTTTATTTTGGTGATGTGCTTTATTTTGGTGATGTTGTGCTTTATTTTGGTGATGTTGTGCTTTATTTTGGTGTTGTGCTTTATTTTGGTTATGTTGTGCTTTATTCTAGTGAAAAGGGCGCTTTATTTTGGTGATGTTGTGCTTTATTTTGGTTATGTTGTGCTTTAATTTGGTGATGTTATGCTTTATTTTGGTGATGTTGTGTTTCATTTGGTGTTGGTTTGCTTTATTTTGGTGATGTTGTGCTTTATTTTGGTGATGTTGTGTGTTATTCTACTGAAAGGGTTTCACGGTGAGGAAGTGCCGCCTCATGTTGCTGGAGCGCTGAGACCCAGTGCCATTTTAAACGGAGTCCTAGAATTCAACTGTTTCCTGTGGCTACCCACACCGCAGTGGGTACACATACTGCAGTAGCTACAAGCTCCTTTATAGATACTTTTATATTGGCTTCACACAAGTTTAATAAAACCCTCCCCAATGCAGCGAGACATAAAGAATGCTAATTGTTCTGCATCACTTACTGACTTCTATCTCAGTATAAAGTAATTTAGTAAACGTTGTCTGTCTTCATAAGGCTTGTTACGGTGGTCATGTGTGGTTTGTTAGGTGGTTAGTTGAATTAAATGGTTAATTAGGGTAGTGGTTAGTGTGGTTAGGAGATTAATTATATTAAGTGGTTAATTAGATTACTGGTTAGGTTAGTGACATTAGGTGGTTAACGAGGTTAGATGATTAACGAGGTTAGATGGTTAATGAGTTTATTAATTTGATGAGGTTCTGTGGTTGATGGGGTAAGGTTGTTAATACAGTTGTGTAGTTAGATGGTATTGCTGTTCGATGATTAAAGCTATTGGATGCCTAAAAATGATTAACTACCAAAACGTTTTTTTTTTCTGTCAACCATTTTTTGATAGTTAAAACCAATTTTAAAAACTGATATAAAGTTGATGAACTGACAGTCCAAGCTCATAACAAAAACTTGTAACGTGATTACATGGTGCGAGAAGTAAGCGGTGTAAGCTGTACTTACTTGAAGCCGTTTCTGCCGCTGTTGCTGTTGATGTCGTTGACCAGGATGCGGACGGCCGTAACGAAGGCGTCGTGTCCGGTGGTGGGGGTGTAGACCACGGTGAAGTGGGTCCAGTTGTAGTGACGTAACACGCTCAACATGGCGTTCGCTTGGTGGTGAAGTGTGGGCGAGATGTTCAGCTGGAGGTTGTCGGACTCTTTCTGGAGCAGACGAGAACAGAACATTGGAGCAGACGAGAACAGAACATTGGAGCAGACGTGATGAGATCATTGGAGCAGACAAGAACAGAACATTGGAGCAGACGAGAACATTGGAGCAGACGAGAACAGAACATTGGAGCAACAGAACATTGGAGCAGACGAGAACAGAACATTGGAGCAACAGAACATTGGAGCAGACGAGAACAGAACATTGGTGCAGACAAGAACAGAACATTGGAGCAGACGAGAACATTGGAGCAGACGAGAACAGAACATTGGAGCAACAGAACATTGGAGCAGACGAGAACAGAACATTGGAGCAGACGAGAACAGAACATTGGAGCAGACGTGATGAGAACATTGGAGCAGACAAGAACAGAACATTGGAGCAGACGAGAACATTGGAGCAGACGAGAACAGAACATTGGAGCAACAGAACATTGGAGCAGACGAGAACAGAACATTGGAGCAACAGAACATTGGAGCAGACGAGAACAGAACATTGGAGCAATAGAACATTGGAGCGGACGAGAACAGAACATTGAAGCAACGGAACATTGGAGCAGACGAGAACAGAACATTGGAGCAACAGAACATTGGAGCAGACGTGATGAGAACATTGGAGCAGACGAGAACAGAACATTGGAGCAGACGAGAACAGAACATTGGAGCAGACGAGAACAGAACATTGGAGCAGACGAGAACAGAACATTGGAGCAGACGAGAACAGAACATTGGAGCAGACGTGAACAGAACATTGGAGCAGACGTGATGAGAACATTGGAGCAGACAAGAACAGAACATTGGAGCAGACGAGAACATTGGAGCAGACGAGAACAGAACATTGGAGCAACAGAACATTGGAGCAGACGAGAACAGAACATTGGAGCAACAGAACATTGGAGCAGACGAGAACAGAACATTGGAGCAGACAAGAACAGAACATTGGAGCAGACGAGAACATTGGAGCAGACGAGAACAGAACATTGGAGCAACAGAACATTGGAGGAGACGAGAACAGAACATTGGAGCAGACGAGAACAGAACATTGGAGCAGACGTGATGAGAACATTGGAGCAGACAAGAACAGAACATTGGAGCAGACGAGAACATTGGAGCAGACGAGAACAGAACATTGGAGCAACAGAACATTGGAGCAGACGAGAACAGAACATTGGAGCAACAGAACATTGGAGCAGACGAGAACAGAACATTGGAGCAATAGAACATTGGAGCGGACGAGAACAGAACATTGAAGCAACGGAACATTTGAGCAGACGAGAACAGAACATTGGAGCAACAGAACATTGGAGCAGACGTGATGAGAACATTGGAGCAGACGAGAACAGAACATTGGAGCAGACGAGAACAGAACATTGGAGCAGACGAGAACAGAACATTGGAGCAGACGAGAACAGAACATTGGAGCAGACGAGAACAGAACATTGGAGCAGACGAGAACAGAACATTGGAGCAGACGAGAACAGAACATTGGAGCAGACGAGAACAGAACATTGGAGCAGACGAGAACAGAACATTGGAGCAGACGTGAACAGAACATTGGAGCAGACGAGAACAGAACATTGGAGCAGACGAGAACAGAACATTGGAGCAGACGAGAACAGAACATTGGAGCAGACGAGAACAGAACATTGGAGCAGACAAGAACAGAACATTGGAGCAGACGTGAACAGAACATTGGAGCAGACGAGAACAGAACATTGGAGCAGACGAGAACAGAACATTGGAGCAGACGAGAACAGAACATTGGAGCAGACGAGAACAGAACATTGGAGCAGACGAGAACAGAACATTGGAGCAGACGTGAACAGAACATTGGAGCAGACGAGAACAGAACATTGGAGCAGACGAGAACAGAACATTGGAGCAGACGTGAACAGAACATTGGAGCAGACGAGAACAGAACATTGGAGCAGACGAGAACAGAACATTGGAGCAGACGAGAACAGAACATTGGAGCAGACGAGAACAGAACATTGGAGCAGACGAGAACAGAACATTGGAGCAGACGAAATGAGAACATTGGAGCAGACACTACAAATCATTGGAGCAAATAAACAAAATATTGAAGCACACGAGAACATAACATTGGATTAAGATAAAACAAAAATTAATGCAGACGATAACAAAATGTTTGAGCAGACGAGATCAAGATATCGTAGGACATCGGGAATAGTACTAAATAAAATAAACCGGAAGAGATCTCCTTTAAACTTTTCCGTATATTACTTTTTAAAAATAGAATATAATCGCTTAGAGATATGAATTACGCATCAAATGAACGTAAAACCATGTGTGTATTATAGAGCGGAAAATATGTGTTTTATAAAGAATCACTGATTAGCTTATTAATAATTAATTAGGCCTCTAATTCGGCCAAAGTGTAAGTCACAATTATCGTCAAATCCTGACCTACGTGAAAAGTTTTAAAGAAATCGGTCAGGTAAAAGTAATATTTTTTCAGAAATTGGAAATAACGTTAAGAAATACTTCAGTGCATCGGATATCACTCAAAATTCGAAGGGATCAAGAGAATATGATCTTCTACTTATAAGTGACATTGTGTCCACCTAACCGAAACGGTACTTACGTTATTTGTATTTTAGATAACAGAAATATAGTCGAGTCCCACTTCCGTTTATCGGAAGTCACAAAAAAAACCGTGTGTAATCAGTATACAATCTTAAACTAATATTTGAAACTTCGTCTACCTCACTGGAACAGTACTCAAATTTCACTTCTCACGTTGAAATAGACTACCATTTTTTGGTTACTGGAAATCGTTCAAAATTTGATAGAAACATGCGCATACGATTTTTATGATAGGCATGTTTCAAATTTCGTTCACCTAACTTTAACGGTAATTGTTTTTTTTTTCAGAAACCGGAAGTAGAGTACCACTTTGTTACCTGTGTGTAAATATTCTTTAACATAACAATGGTACTCAAGTTATTGTTTTCACAGACTCACGGAGAGACTAACGGACAGACACATAGCCACACAGACAAAATTGCAAAACTAAGTTTTTCCGACTCAGGGAGCTGTAAAACGTCAAGATTTGTCAAAATAGCCATTTCGATCTTTTGCACGATTAGAATTCTTCCTTTTTACTTCGTATACGAGAAAGTAATGAAAGAACAAAAATAAGTGACTACAAAGGTACTCTGTGTTTCCTGTGTGAGATTAGTTCATATTTTTCTGTAGTGCTGACTAACGTTTGTCAGTGTAGCCACCAGTGGCGTAGCGAGGTCGGGTGTCACCCGGTGCGGCACTTAATGGTGTCACCCCCCCCCCCCCCCAGAGACGTTGCGACCCTTCCCGGGGACAAACTTTCAAGTTTTCGATTTCCCCCCCCCTCCCTCAAACTTTCGATTTGCACACACCCCGCCCCCCCCCCCCTCGCTACGCCCCTGTAGGCCACGCTCTATATAACCACTAGGTAAACTATTTCATCAGTCATCACAACCTACTCTTCTTATGAAGTTTTTAAACCGGTTCTCCTGCTATTGTGGACTACTACATTTTATCAGATAGGCCTACCCAAAGGTTGTCTCGTTATTGTAGAAGCGATCAAAGATTTCTATTGGGAGCAAGACACATTTGTGTTTACTGTGTCCATCTGTCGGTGTAACTTAGTGTATATTAGTGTGTCTGTGTATTTTTATGTATATGAGTGTCACCTCATCACTATCTGTACCTGTGTTTTTTCCTGTATGTATATACTTGAATTCTATGACTGGTTTGTCTGTCGTGATGTCTATGGGTCTGTTTGTTTTGTTCTCTGAAGCAGCAGTTTTGCACAAATATAAGTCTGTTCGTCAGAGACTAATCTTTGACAACCATCTTACAACCCCCGGCAACCAATAAAATGAGCGATTAATCCTTGACAACCATCTTACAAACTTCAAAAACAGATAAAATCAGAGACTAATCCTTGACAACCATCTTACAACCCCCGGCAACCAATAAAATCAAAGACAAATCCTTGACAACCATCTTACAACCCCCGGCAACCAATAAAATCAGAGACTAATCCTTGACAACCATCTTACAACCCCCGACAACCAATAAAATCAGAGACTAATCCTTGACAACCATCTTACAACCCCGGGCAACCAATAAAATCAAAGACAAATCCTTGACAACCATCTTACAACCCCCGGCAACCAATAAAATCAGAGACTAATCCTTGACAACCATCTTACAACCCCCGACAACCAATAAAATCAGAGACTAATCCTTGACAACCATCTTACAACCCCCGGCAACCAATAAAATCAGAGACTAATCATTGACAACCATCTTACAACCCCCGGCAACCAATAAAATCAGAGACTAATCCTTGACAACCATCTTACAACCAGAGGCAACCAATAACATCAGAGACTAATCCTTGACAACCATCTTACAACCAGAGGCAACCAATAAAATCAGAGACTAATCCTTGACAACCATCTTACAACCCCCGGCAACCAATAAAATCAGAGACTAATCCTTGACAACCATCTTACAACCCCCGGCAACCAATAAAATCAGAGACTAATCCTTGACAACCACCTTACAACCCCCAGCAACCAATAAAATCAGAGACTAATCCTTGACAACCATCTTACAACCCCCGGCAACCAATAAAATCAGAGACTAATCCTTGACAACCACCTTACAACCCCCAGCAACCAATAAAATCAGAGACTAATCCTTGACAACCACCTTACAACCCCCAGCAACCAATAAAATCAGAGACTAATCCTTGACAACCACCTTACAACCCCCAGCAACCAATAAAATCAGAGACTAATCCTTGACAACCATCTGACAACCCCCAGCAACCAATAAAATCAGAGACTAATCCTTGACAACCATCTTACAACCAGAGGCAACCAATAAAATCAGAGACTAATCCTTGACAACTCTAACTTAGACTAACAAGGAAGACAAAAATCAATTTTTTAAAAAGCCCCAAGTTTTTGTGTGAAGAT